GAAACTGATATGTCTACCATGGCCAGTTCACAGGACAGAGTGGGGGTCTGCAAAACCTGGGACCTGAATGTTGGTTAACATAACATGGAGATCTTTCTCTATGACCCAGAGTGCGCCTTGACCTCCGTTCTCTAGGATGGAGATTTTTAAAATGACATTTAGATGTGGTACATGCTAACTAAGATGTGTTTCCTTTTGGCATTGGTTCATTGTTCCTCTTCAGCTGTCTACTCAGTTTGATCATCATGTATGTAGCTCAATAAAAATTTTAATCATACTACCTGAGAAATTCTGGGAATCCTGAGTTGAATAAGACCTCTTCAAGTGGTTTTCACTTTAGTACCATGATTCAAATCCAAGGGGCGGGGGTGTGGATTTTCCCCCCAGGGGCATTTGGCAAATGTCTAAAGACATTTTTGGTTGTCGCAATTTGGGAGGGCAGTGCTGTTGACATCTAAGGGGTGGAGGCCAGGGAGTAAATGTGAGGTACAAAGCAGCCCCCACGACAAATGATTGTCTGACCCCAAATGTCAATTGTGCTGAGGTTGAGAAACCCTGCTGTAGCAGAAGAGGCACATACTGTGGTGGCATATATGCAAAAATATGTGTAAGTACAAGGTATCAAAGCAAGTGTGTGTGTCTGGGAGGGAGGGGACATTGGGGAAAGATTCATGGGGAAGGACTACAAATCATGATTTTTACTTACTGGCTTTGTAACTAAGTGTCAAAGAATGACTTTGATTGAAAGTTTATTAGTTAAGAACAACACAGTGGGATTTTGTTTTCTTTTTGCACAACCCTCTGAGTAATTTAATCAAATATTTTTTTATGACTTTTTATATCTCCCCTTAAAAAAAATTCCCCCAGAGAGCCTGGGAGATGCATAAAAGGGAAGAATCCATTCAATCTTATTCTGTGCTTCTCTAGTCTACCTTCTCTCCTTCAAGTTTCAGCCTCATGAACCTTGAGGTCTTCGAGATTTCAGTCCATAATGATTGGTCTACTCTCTGATTTCCTTCGAGCCTCGTTACTTCTCTCACCATGTACACCAGTTTCTTCGGAGTGTTTCCACATATCCTGTGGGCTCCTCAAGATCAGGGACCATGCCCTCCTCCTGTACATCCCTCCACAACACTGAACCGTGTTCTGGACTCAGATTCCCACTGAATTTGGAAGAAGGAGAAAGACATTCAGGAAAGATGTCAGGATCCTAACATATTCCTGTGACATTGGATGCTTGGATACAGCACATTTTATTCTTCCACTGTCTATGGGTTGTGTCTTATAATAGAGTCTAAAAGTTTAATCTCTGTTCAGTAGAAACAACATGCAAAAAATAAATTGCCATAATTATTATTAGCATTTTTCTTACAGAATTTTCAGAAGCTGTTTCCATATCAAGCAGATCAACCTTTCTGTTGTCATAGAGACAAAGATCTTTTTATAACCATGGGCAAGGTGAGATATTTTTTCTCTCTCTCTCTTTCTGTTGTCTGGAACTAATAAGACAAGGAAAGCAAATTTTTGAAATCAATTTTTTTCTATTACTTTTGTATTCCCCAATTAAAATGAGTAAAAACATGGGAGGCTATTTTTTGTATCACATTTTAGATTGTAAATACCTGAGTTTTAATAAAATATGGACGAGGAGGAAAGATATGAACAATTGAAGGACGCCATTTTCAAAATTTGCAAGCAGTGGGCTTATCAGTGATAAGTAATTACAATCCATGGTCCTTCTTTATTTTTTTTAAACCAAAGAATGAACTTGAGTTGGAGGTCTTAAAAGACAGGACTGTTGAGGCCTGCAATGATTAAATCATAAACCAGTATCTACTGAGGGGCTGATGACGAATTCTAAGGTTTTCTGGGGTACTCGCCTCCTCCAGCCCCCAGAACCACGAGTGTTGCTCTTCTCTCTGCTGAGTCAAACCCTGTGGATAACTTAGTGCGAGACCACATCCCGCTTCTTCTGGAAGCCTCATCTCATAATTTCTGCTCTGCTTTTTACGAACACCTGATAACTTGTTCATAGCATTTATCTATTTGTAATTGCCATTTACTATTTAATTCATTCACTGTTAAGAGAATTTTTAGCACAAACTGGTTCCCTTTTCTTGTCCTTTGCTTCAGTGTTGAATTACACCTTCACCCAACTACCTTCTTCCCCCAGGACTCAGGTGGGATGGGGAAAGGAAGTGTATGGCACAAGGAAGTTTAAAGCATACTTCTTACTTTCCAGAGGATTATATCCTCCTCGAAGAGCAATACCTTGGTTCTCAAACCTTAGTGTGCATCAGAATCACCTGGGGAGTTTGTTAGAACACGGAAGACTGGACTGCACCCTCAGAGGTCCTGATTCAGTAGATGGGGCTGGGGCCTGAGAGCCTGCGTTTCTAACATTTCCTAGGTGATGCTTTGAGGAACATTGCCTTAAAATAACTACCCTCCTGTTCCTTCTCACGCCTCTCTCGTCATGTGGAAGTCGAAGTCATCGTATCCTACTGAAAAAGTTATTCAGTTTTGGGCCTTTTTGGGCTTCCCTTCCATAGGGTTGTCACCAGAAGGATAGGTCCTCTCTCAATGGTCTTGATTGTCAGGAAGCTTGACCTTGGGAGGGTCAGCATGCGTGTTGACCTAAGGGGTCTAAATGTCTAGCAGAAGATGCTCCTGGTGTGGATACCAAGGTAGTGCATGTGACGGGGGGAAGTCAGGGGGGCAGAGGGCTTCAGGGCCTGGACAACCAGCTGTCCTTTGGGAGCCGGAGGAGCCAGCTGCAGCATGCTAACTGTACTTACATCGTGCCTGCATCCCGCCCCCATCTCCAGACCTAGTCAGCCCTATACAATCTTTCTGAGGGGCTCTAGGCGTCTCTCAGCTGTGCTGTGGGGCAAGATGAACATTTGTTTTGTTCTTTTCACTTCTGTCTTCTCCAGGGAAGGGGTACCCTCCTGAGGGCACCATGGGTGTGGCAGCAGACTTTTTTTGAGATCTCAGTGAAAAGCTGAATCTGAAAGGAGCTGGGACTTGGTCCACCCATTCCTGCATCCCACCAGGGGGTTCTCCACTAAGGGCCAACTTTGGAGAAGCTGGGAAAATTATATATATATATATATATATATATATATATATATATATATATATATAGAGAGAGAGAGAGAGAGAGAGAGAGAGAGAGAGAGAGAGAGAG